CATAGTTCTTAAGGCTCTTTTTTGTACAATGAAAATTTGCTCTGCATTTCTACTACCTCCATAAAAAATAATCCCATACCTACAAACAGATTCGAAATTTGAATGATAGATATTCGGATTACATCTGTGTCAACATACTGATCAGTAACTTTCATTGAATACAACACTGAGTTCAACTTTTGACAAACATTTTGAATATGATTATTGAAACTCAGTGTGCTGGTTATGTGCAGTCCTAAGAATTTGCACTCATTTCCTATGTTGAGTGAAATATTCGTCAGCCGAATTTCTTGAGGTAAGTCAAATTCTGCATGGTTTGTTTTGAACATTACAGTTTTGGTCTTATTGTCATTCAATATAAGTTTGTTTCTCCTGAACCACTCATCTACAGAGGCTTTCTTCAGTTATGGATATCAGACCGGGATAGTCTACTGCATTGACCAGCAAGTTTGTGTCATTCGCATAATTTGTCATTTTGCAATTTTCCTCACAAATATCCTCCAGGTTATTTAGAAAAATGATAAACGTCATTGGGCCAATTATACTACCTTGTGTATCAATTGATTTTATATCTGATTCAGCTTTGATTCCTTCCTTGTTAATTAACACCATTTGTTTTCTACCTGATATATAAGATTTAAGCCATTTCAGCGCAGGGCCACGCCTGCCATATGATCCAGCTTTTGTATAAGAACTGCGTGGTTCAAACAATCAAAAGCTTTTGACAGGTCTAGAAATAATCCCAATGCCAGAATCCTGAAGAATCCAAAGGATGAAATGAGAAACACCTTAACAAAGGACGAGAATGGTTTGAAAAGTTTCCGACCTCAACATGAAGATGGCAGCACTCGTAAATAAAAGCTAGCGAAGTTATTTGTTCATCTGTTGACGATTACTCACCAAAGTTTATGTGATTTTGGACAGTCGTTTGAGTCAGTTGATGTTAGTGTTTTAATGAAAATGGACAAAATCGAGTATCAAGATGTCAATAAATATTTGTTTTTGAAAGGCAATATGGCAACGCAAATCAAAGATGAGTTGGATTCTGTGTATAGGGACTCTGTACTATCATTTACCACAGTGTTTGTCACATATTAAATCAACATTTAGACATGAGAAAGCTGCCCGCACGTTGGGTGCCGCGTTTGCTCACGTTAGACCAAACACGTGTTTGAATGAACAATCCAACTCTCCGTTGGCGCAGTTCAGAGGCTATGAATCCGAATTTCGGCAACGATTAATTACTGTATATGAAACTTGGATACACCATTATACGCCCAAAAAAAAAATACAGTCCAAACAGTGGACTGCAAATGGGGAACCGGCTCCAAATAAGCAAAAACTGTTTTTCAGCTGGGAAAGTGATGGTGACTGTTTTTTGGGATAGTCATGGAGTTATTTTAATTAATCATCTTCAAAAAGGAAAAACCTTTACAGGAGCACACTATGCACCATTACTTGACGTATCTCATTCGCACCGCAAAGTGCCTCGGGCTTGTATCTAAAGCAAAGATGTGAAAACTCCTCGCCGAATTCAGAAGGAAAACGCCCGAGGAAGGCTATTATGTAGTGAAACGTTTGTTGCGGCTTTGTGAACAGCTAACTCCATAACATATTCAAGTAATACTGAATATGTTATGGAGGATTTTCAACAAGTATTGACCAATTTCAACACATAGTTTCGTAGTATTGTTACAATGTGTTTTTGTGTTAATCAGTTATTACCCCATTGTCAATAATAACAATCAGAAGCAGAAACTTGTGCGACTAAAAGATTACCGAGATCTCACCGAGAATATGACGGTCTTACAGGCATGGTCCTTAACTGGTTCTCTAGCTATTTGCTAAATAGGTCACAATGCACCTGAATGAATGATACTGAATAAAACAAGCAAATTATTGGTGTAAGTGTTCCTCAACAAAGTGTGCTTGGCCGCTTGGCCTCTTCTCTTTATTCTTTATCTGAATGCATTGACAATTGTAAATACTAAATACTAACCTGTCAAGAGGTATCACTAAAATTAATTGTATGCTGAGCAACATTTATAATTTTTTTAATACAAATTGAAATTGAATATGAAGAAGAGCAGAGAAATAAAAGCAACAAAATTACAATTTGTTAGATATTAGTACAATCAACATCTATATTTATCGTGAATCCACTGAGATTGTTTATAATTTTAAATACTTATACATTAGGAATTTTAGGGGTTTCACCTCGGAATGAAACAAAGTCATCTTCAAACCTTTATTATGACACTCTAAAACATCTCAAAACCACTTACCATAGGTTACCATAGGTTGTTCGTGACTACAGATATTCCAAGGTCAAAGGATCAATTTTTTACATATTTATTGCAAATATCTCGTTTCTTATGGGTTTATGCTATTCGTATGTAATAAAAATATTGTAGAGGATTAAATTCTCTACAACTTTTTTTCAAGCATTTTTTTCATATCTTGAATAATTTTCGAGATAGAGGGCAGAGCGCGCGCAGTGTTAAACTATTTAGAGTACCATTCGTGTAATTATAAAGTTATTGAGGGAAACAATTTAATTTTTTTAATTCTAATCTTATCTATACTAATCTCTTCCTAATTAAANCTCAGTTCGTATTGAATACTGTGCTAGCTTACTATTTTTTGCTCGATGGAAATTGCATATCTTCATTACATGGGTTACAGAATAGGGGAATGTGATTGCTTTTGAAGTGTAACAGATATACGGACTATGCTGTTAGTACTGGACTGGTTTTCTATCAAGGATACAATATTATACTTCTGCATTATTTCAATATTTGAAATTCTGTCTGGATTAGCACCTCCATTCGTCAACCACTTTATTATTTTTCAACATGAAATCCATGACTATCCCACAAGAAACAATTACATATTGTAATTTCCTCCTAATGATTATTCATGAACAATGAACTTCTTTCATAGATGTCTCTTGGTATACAATAACCTTACATCAAGAGTCAATCAAAGTTCTTCTTTAGGAGTTTTTTAACGTGAACAAATATATCACTTGAAACCAAGGTTGTCATGAGTCGTCTTTTTTATAATTAGTTAGTATGACTTCAAATTGCTTTGAATTATATTCAGAATAATCATATACTGTCTTTATAATTACTACCTTTAAACTATGTTGAATAAATATTATTTTTATCATCACCTTTTAACGTGCAATTCCTAACAGGAGTCAGGTGATATGCAGAAAAAATCGAAAATCCCACTCGAACGTTCACATAGCTCTTGATTGAATGAGTATAATGAACAACTCACTCTGATCAACCGACCGCCGCGCCGTCCGAAATCTTCAATGTGTTTATTATTTTACATCCTGTATATAAAGAATATTTGCTAGGAAACGTTGTAGACAAGACAGAAAGTTAGGATTACATTAGAAAAAAAAAATCCAAATAACTATTTGACTCGCATCTGCTAGGATGTAAATTTCCTCGCATTTGCATCTAGAGTCAACCTTTGGTTGGTCTGGCCAGGTGTTAGAACTGTTGAAACGGTCCGCCTATTGAGGAAACGTCTCCATATAAAAATTTCAAATTTTATACTATGACATGAGTACAGTTATAATTAACTAAAATTCAAGGGTATCTGGCGAGAGGTTTTCACGCTTTGCTACTTTTTACCTGCCAATGCACTATTATTGAAAACTTCATGCTAGTCCACCGTTTCCTAACTATGTCGGGGCCAGGCGCTGAACAATTTCCAGCTATCATAAAATAACAAAGGTCTGGCATCAACAGTTACTTGTTTCATTTTATTTGTAGGAGAGAACAAAAGCAACAAAAAACAATTGAAATGTAGTTAAATGCTTAAAAAAATGGGTTTGTCAATAATATTCCTAAGCAAGTGATGATTGTCACTATAACAATAAGAGTCACACTTACCGACAATATCATACCAAATTGTGTTATTGTCACGATCATTTGCTGAAATGGACGAAACCAATAACCCAATATTATCTCCTTCAGTAAGTTTAACAGGTTGAGGTGTTTTAACTGTCGGTGCAGATTTTGATTGAAGAGGTGCAGATTCAACATTTACAGAGACCTTGCATGAACTATGCCTCGGAGGATTGCCACCATCACTTACTTTTACCTACAAAAAAGTATGATCAACAATTGAGTTCGATTATATTCTAACATATTGCACCCATGCAAATACAAACAAATTATCTATTACAGTACACATTTACATAAAAACTCGATGAAATTTTATTTATCATATACCACATTATATGCAAATGACTCTACTCTACTACTAAAAGCTGAAGATTATGAATCACTACAAATAAAAATTACAAATTCAGTCAATCAGTTATCTGCATTGTCCTTTGACAGACAGATTCTTGTTACTGAACTCCAGTACAGTATTTCATACCCATTAAAACTTAAAAAAGATACCGACTCTGAATATCAATTTAAATAACAATATAATTGATACAGTAACAGATATTAAATTCCTAGGAGTATTCTTCGATTCCATCCTGTCTTTTAGATCTCACTGCACTGAACTAAGTAGAAATTTGAAATCAAAGTGCTATCAATTATGAAATTTAAAGAAAATGCTGATAGTGTGAACCATCTCCTCAAATACTATCATGCCAAAATCAAGTCCAGAATGGAATTATCGTCTAGTACACGTCAGTCTTACTCCGTTTCCCTTCCCACACCTTCTCTAGCCCTTACACAAAATTCTATTATTTTCAATAGCAAGAAGTTATTTAACCACCTTCCCATTAATTTAAGGCGAATATATAATGGAAAGAAATTCAGAAAGAAAGTGAAAGAATACCTTGTTGGGAGGCCCTATTATAGTGTGGACGAATTCTACCAAGGCTCTATCGAATAATTGACATGTAGCTTTGTGTAAACAAGTTATTGAAACCAACACAAAATGGCTATCAATGTTCATTATGTAGAATTATATATTTACGTTTACTTAATATTCATAAATTCATGTACTTATATTTGTAGCTGTTCAGCTGGACTTAATATTGTTCTGTCCATATACTCTGCTCCGGTGTTTAAGCATTATTTTATAGTTTATATTTGTTAATTGTCCCTTATACATGTTTTACTTTACTAGACTTTGCCAATAAGATGTTTATATCTTGGGTAATAAAGCATATTTTGATTTGATTTGATTTAGGGAAATACTCCAGCGGCACATAGTGTTTTTGTGTCTCAGATGCGTATCCTAAGATGTCTCGTGGGCTGTCCACCTGATCACTCAGGTCAATTTTTTTTTAAATAGAAAATATATATTGACAGTTACTGGCATATTCGTTCTTGTGCTAATGACATACATACATGGCAATCGAAATACCTTTTTAAGACATAGTGACACTCACAGTTACAATACAAGGAAAAAAGATAACTTTTACATGTCCTTCAAAAACTAGAATTTTCCTTTTTTTGGAAGATTGTACAAGATGGAGTAGTAGAAAGCCAAAAACTTTCATTCCCAAAAATTAATCACTCCTAAAAATATAACCCCTACAATTCAAGTTTTTAACATTATTTCTGATGAGTTTGAGAGGCAAATTTGATGAGTAGAATTTGGAACCTCTGGTGTAAAACGAATTTCTCTCACTTCATCAGCACAAAAATATTGTCTCTTGACGCGTCTTGTCTCTTCAGTTGCAGTCATCTCCTGATGACTGCAACTGAATTTTACAACTAAGTTTTAGCCTTATATCATTTGTAAAGTTATTTGCTGATGTTATTTACCCGTTTTCTACATGTAATTACGTAAGAGTGTGAATAGTGGGAAAAGCACCTCAAAGCGAGCTATTAGTTTCGCTTAGTTTAAGAATCGTCTACCCTGTACTGATGTTGCCTAACAGGTTAAAATAGCTGTCTACCGGTGGCCCTCAAATTGAAGTCAAAATTTGAATGATCACAACAGTTCTCATCTATTTATTATTTCATTGTCCTGTATTATTTTCCAGCGGCTTTATTGCATTAACGTTTCTTAATTTTATATAATTTTATCTACGAATGCTTTATCCTCTGAAGCAAGGTTTACTGCTACTATATTCTTTGGTATTTTTTTGTACTGGTGGTGTCCTAACTTCTTCAACAGTTGTTTTTCTGTTGACTTTTTTCCAAGGTATATGTTGTTTTCTTTCAGTAACTGATTATTTTCTGATCACTTCATTCTGGTATTGCATAGTTTCTAACTGCACGAGGTGTGTTAAATTCATTTCCTCATTCAATGCTCACTAGAACTTTGGTATATTTAGTTTGACAACACTTGAAAAATTTTTTCTTTGAAATTATTACACTTACATGCAGACTACATATTCAGCCTGCTCATTAATCAGCAATGGCAATGTTTGAGGTTAGCACCATACAACACTTCCTAACTTACGATGAAGTTGACGACTTTTTTGAAAAAGTGTACACGACCTCTTTAAGTTTGATCCCCTGACAATCAGGAACTTCTTTCTTTATTACACATTACCCCTTTCTGATGGAACAAAAACATATCAAGGTGTATCAAAATACAAAACAAAATTGAAAAATAATCATAACTGGAGTCTAATAATGACACAAAAGATATGGAGTGGTATGTTACAGGAAAACCACTAACTTTCCCGCCTTTTTGTTCTACTCACTGAAATTCAATGGAATAAAAACGAATAATATACCCAATATGAAATGATGACAATTATTCGACCAGGATACACTCAAATCATTAAAAAAACTACCTAAAGCGGGTCGGAAAGACCCACACCCTAAATCGGTAAGACCAATCAGCCTTACATCCTTTCTATTGAAAGGACTTGAGAAGATACTGGGCAGACACACTAGGAGGGTGACATTATATGCATCCCCCCTGAATAACCACCAGCATGCTTATCAAACCGGCAAATCTTCAGATTTAGCATTAAACAACCTTGTAGGGAAAACCTCCCAATCCCTTGACAACAAGGAGATTGCGGTTGCTGTATTTCTCGATATTGAAGGAGCATTTGACAATGCACTACCTAAATCTATAGTATCGTCTCTGGCTAGGAAAGGTATGGAATTGACCATAACTGGCTTAGTATGGTTGTTGTATTGGAAGAATCAGCTTAGCTCATTTCGTATAATTGTTGTTGAGTTTTTCTTATGTAGATATTATTTTATTTTGAGTATTCTTCGTTGTTTTTATTGGTGTTTCTAGTTGAATTCTGATAGTGTTCACAATATTTGTAATTAGCTGGTTTCTTTGTTTTTCGCAGGTGGCTGTGTTGTGAAAACCTCTATATTTGGCACTTATGGCTGGTTTGCTACAAGATGATTTTGAATTATGCTGTTTTTTGTGTTTGTGGCAGCTCTATTAATACTACCCTATTTTAAAGACCTGTAACTTTTGTAAATGTCTTTATTATTTTATAGATTGAGTGTTTCTTTTGTTGTTCTTTGTTTAACGTTGAATATGTTTCTCATTCTGTTTCTTAATCGATAAGGTTGGTTGAATGGTGCAGGTATCTAATTACAATTATGCATCCAAAATACTAGTAGTTTCATGAATGGAATTCACTAACTGACTAGCAACTGAATGATACATCCTGATAATTTCAATACTTCAAAACAGCTTCATTTAGATATATTATTGTTTTAGAGTCAGTCTTCTTTTGTTACTATATACTCCTTGTGAGTAGAGGATAGAGTTCTATTTATTGAAAATGATGTAAATCTTTCAGGAGTATGCTGTTAATATTTAACAGCAATCGACATGTGGTTTGAAAGTTCATAACTTACTTTTAGCTTTGTAGAAGATAGTGAAATTTGAACAACAAATGAATAATTGAAAATATTTAGAAAGGAATTCATAAAAATAACTCACATTGAATTCATAATACTGGCCAGGTTCTAGTTCCTTCTGCGTATATATAATTCCAGTGTCATTGTTTATTCTAAATTTTGATCGACCTTTTCCTGATTTGATGTGATATTTCAGTTGGGCATTTTTTCCTATATCTCTGTCAAAAGCCAAAACCTAAAATCACAAATTATTTATCATTAATCTCAAATATGATATGCTACTTTTTTTTGTCGCCTAGCAGCTGCTCCGCTATGAGCAACCTTCAGAAGTTTTCAGGAAAATTGTGAAGCTAAGAAAAGGCAAGGGTCTTACCTCTTCTTAACGTGCGATCATAAGCAAGGCCGACAATAATAAATCGAAAGTTCGTTCAATAATCAATTACCCATTCAAGTAATAGTCGCACCTAGATGTTACTGTTTACTTTTATAAATTATTTCTACCTGCTCTTTATGAAACGACATAATTTTGCAATGCGGACTAGGGAAGTGACAGAATTTATTGACGGATCACCCTGTAGCGCTTTTGAATACTTAATGAGATTTTATTACTCTACACTCTTTTGAAATAGACTATAATAACATCAAAATACTCACCTGAAATAAAGCTCCACTGGAATCTTTATTAATTGCAGGTACCCGAATATGGTAAAACTCTTCCTCGAATTCTGGAATATTGTCATTTATATCATCAACTTTTACAACAACTCTGGTTATTGATGATAGAGGCGGAGATCCATTATCAGTTATCAATACCTGAAATGAAAATATACATTAGTACATCAATAGAAAGTATAACTCAGATGCTCATTTAGAAGTCAATAGAAACAATAAAGATATGAGAAATGAGATGAGCAAGAACATTTCGCTTTTGTACTAGAGTAGCGAGTTGATTGAAGAAAATACTCACAATTTAAGAATGTCTAATTTGTGGTGTTGCAAACCTGGTATTTTACCAGAGTTGGTTATGAAGCATTTTTTCCTGTTAAACTTGTGGATTTTTTAAAAAACTCTTTCAATTATTTCAAAAACAATTAAATTAAAATGGTATTTTATAGCAGTTCACATTCACCAGAAGTAGGGTCGGGTGTCTCAGATTGAACCAGGCAGCTACAGTTAACCACAATCGTATTTGGGAAATGCGACCTTGCCAAACTGTGCTAATATAGGTAAAAGAGAGGTATTTACGTTCTCTTTCTACCCACTAGTTTGCGTGACAATAGCGTGCGAAGAGGTTGTATGAGAAGCATTTTGTCGAAAATTGATTGTAAAAGTAAGTTTTGTCTGCATAATTCTTTGTTTTTTTCATTTGTTTGGTTTGTTTCTTCATATTTACTCTGTTTAACATAGTAATCTAGCATTTAAATACACTATAATTCGTTACTCTGCAAGATTATTTTCCTGGTAAAATGTTGAGGTTAGTTGTCGAACTTCGGTGTGTCCCACATTGAGCCACATTGGTGTGGTACACATTGAACCATGGTTCACTGTGTACTCCCCAAGATTATAAGTAGATATTTTTATTCGTTACAGGATGGCGCGAAAAAAAGTATTAGTGAGAAAAAGAGGTGGCCATTCGGCTGCCAATATGCTAAAGGCCATTCAATTTCATAGATCATATGAAAGTATTAGAAAAGCAGCAAAAACTTATGATATTGCGTACCCAACTTTACCTCACTAAGTAGCACAAAATTTACACGTCAACGTAGAAGACCTTGCTAAGAAGAGATTGCTACCGAATTATGAAAATCATCTCGTTTTTACCAGTCAATAAGAAGAAGTTTTTAAAGAGTATGAAAAAGAGTGCACTCTAAAATTTTATGGTCTGACCCCAAGAGATTGCCGTAAAGTAGCGTACCAAATGGCGAATGTGAATAATGTAACAATCCCAGAGAGTTAGCACCGAGATAAAATGGCAGGAAAAGAGTGGTTTCGGTCAATCAGGAAACGTCACCATGATCTCTCAATAAAGAAGCCTGAATCTTGCAGCTCATTCCTCGCAACAGCTTTCAACAGGAAGATAGTCCAATCATTTTTTGATAATTTTAAAACAGCAATGGGTCGTCATCCGTCCTTCAGTTCTGGTTGCCGTTTGTACAATTTGGACGAATGGCACACAAAACCGGAACTCAACATTTAGTTTCCCGATCAGAATTGCNCATCAGAGAACTATCACTGATATGAACCGCTCATGGTGGAATCGAATGTGCCAAGTCACTTGAACACACCCAAATAAGTTTCATAGAATGTGTTCAAAGAAAATTTTTGAAATATGTATATTTGGAAAAAAATATCATTTACCCAGACTGCAACATTGATTACTCAATACTTCTCAATGAAAGCAATTTCATCTCACTGAATACTAGACGCATTATTCCTGCTAATGTACGTCAACTAAATAGTAGACGTGCTAGAATAGACATATCAAAGAGATCACCTGTTTCAATCATTTGCAATAATTTCAATTTGAAATGTGGTTCATGTGACATTATTACAGCGTGACTCACGGTCGATGGTATGTTAGATGTTTATGGTAAACGCAACGCAGGATTTTTATGAAAGTTTCACATCTTATATTTCCTTACCTGTATATTTTTAGAATCGCTCTTTTATTATAATACTTTTTTGTTAATAATGTCCTATATCTATCTCTATCGGTTTTCAAAATAAAAAATAATTCACGAAAAGTTAATATTTTGATGATAGTTTGGACAAACTCGAAATATTTAATTAACACCAAGAAATCGACTCTATACCATACAGGGCGTGCTAAAATTACTATTATTTCCATTATGCATTACAGTGGTCAAAAGTTAATTTTTTCAAATGAAACCCACTGTATATCACTCGATAAATTGAAAGATGATAAAAATGCTTCAAGATGATATATCATGTTCCTATACCTAAATCGTAAAGTTTTCTTAATAAAGTCATCTCTTCTGGAAACATTGTTTTTTTAAGAATTTTAGATAGCAGTGGAATTAACAAGCTTATAACAGTTTGCTTACTTTTTGTAAGTAATTTACAAATAGTTTTATTGATGGTCTTTCAAAACATCTTCCAAAATGATTGCAAATATCGATTATTCAAACGAAGTTCTTGTGAAATTATTCATTACACATGAACAAAATGATCAAATCATTGTCAGTGCTTCAACATTACCAAAACCTGTTACTTTGAATGAAGACAATTCTGTTAACGTTTTGGCATATTTTTATGCATATCCAGAAGCTTCCATTTGCAGTGTAGAAAAATATTTGAGTGTATCACATGCTTCAGTACAACGAATTTTGAAAAATCACACACAAACACGCACACACATGTGAATATGTACATTTCTATCGCATTTAAAACACATTTTCCAAAAAATATAAATAACAACTATTTACCTCTAATATGTGTTCCTCTTGGGTTTCTCTGTCTAATTTCCTTGAAGTAGTTGTTATAACACCTGAAATCAAACTTTATGTAAGAGAGAAGTATAGAACATTTTTAGGCTGTGGAATAGATTTTTGTTTGTATACAATGTGTGTCACGTTGAACTCCCATTAGAAATTTAAGATGAAAGGACGAAGTTATCAAAAAGTATAACTTTTGAACTGTTATGTACTTATCTATACAAACCCATATTGAAAGAAGATTGAAATACAAAGGCTCAATTTGAGCCTCAAAAATTATTTTGATTCACCCATTATTACGTTAACTTTGCAGACTTGGAGTCTTCAAAAAAGTGAAATCAGTTCCAGGTAAGACACAAAACATACCCCCAGGAACTAAAATCAAAATACCTTATTTTGAAGCGGAGGCTTATTAATCTATCGGATTATTACCAAATTCAAATCGCACTTAAATTTATGTAGGGACAAAGATTAGATTTTTCTTAGATGAACTTATACGAAAATGTCTTCTCAACCTACTGACTTTGTGTTTGCAAAGCTACTCATATTCCTAGTAGACACAAATGTACCTTTGGATGGAGTTATTTACGAAATCTTTCACGGACTTGGTATCTCCACCCAAGCGAAATTAGTTCCAAGCAGCAGACTTAAACATACCTCTTGAAATTAAAATAACTATACCCTCATTTGAAGCAAAGACTGATTATTCTATTCAGATATAAAATTTCCCCCAACTTTGGTAACAAATCTACTTTGAGAAATATCATACGATTTTCTGTCTTAACTGAATATTCATGGGTTGTTTCATGATTTATATTTCAATGTTCAAGATATGCTCATTATCCAGCAAACATAAATATACCTTCAGAATCAGAAATTTACGTTATTCTAGCAAACTATGTCCCTTCATACAAGTGAAATTGTTTCCAGGCAGCACACACAAACATACACACAAAACTAAAATCTCGGCAATTTCTTGAACCCAAGGAAATTAATTACCCTATACTTTTGCTTCAAGGAATAAAATCTCTGTATCGAGCAACATATATATTTTCTGTAGTGTGATAATCACGGTCAAACCCTCAACTGTTTCAGGAAAAAAAGAGCTCACAAAATTCCAATACGTTGGAGCAACTGTTATACGTTGGACAGTGTTGTATCTAGGCCAATCGTAATTTTACTAAAATTCCTGTGCTTTAAAATATTAGTGTCTATGGCAGCCGAAGCGTCCTTGGTCGATACTAATGTGAAGTTAGTTGTGATTCGCCGGCTCCATATCAGTCCACATAAAAAAGTTAATTTATTATTTCTAGCTCTAAGAGTACGTTCTCTGGATTTTACTTATTGTCTATTTATTCAATATGATATATATTCATAAAAAATCTTCAATTTGCACTTTACAAGTAGGTAATAGATGGTATGAGTGTTCGAAGCTAACCTCAATTTTAGGTGTGTTATAAAACTTGTTAAAAGAAATTGTAGTGGTGTTGTACCTTTCCTCCCAAACTAACTATGTACCAATAACACTGGTCAAGGTACAACATATTGGTTCTACCTTGGACACCAAACTTTTTTCTCTTTGTTTTTTAAAGTTTTTCTCTTTGTAATTTCTTGTGACATTGTAATAGGAAAAATGCCGCGAAGCCAGCAAAATATAAAAACAGGCTTTATTTGACAAGGATAACATTGAGAAAGCAGTCAAATTATTGAAGGAAAAAAGTTTACTCTCCATGCCGCTTCCAAACATTTTCTAATACCTCAAACTACCTTGACATTCTACTACAATTATAGCATGAAGGAAATATCTTGGTGGAGGATATATGTGAAAATCTAGCTGTTAAAAGGCAATCAAATTGAATACCCTTCTACATGGGATTCCGAAAATATAGCAGGAAAATATTGGCAGGGAACACTTTTAGAATGAAATCTCACTTCGGAAACCAGAAGTTGCAAGCTTAGCTCGTTCTTCAGCGTTTAACAAGCACACGGTTGGATAGACGTTCAAAAATTACAAGAAGGCATTGTCCCAATGTCCATCAGATTTACAAGCTGTTGGAATATAGACGAGACGGAATTATCAACAGTTTACGTCTCTTCAAAGATTCTGGTGACAACTGGAGTTGAACAAGTTGGGTCTATGACGAGTGCCGAAAGAGAATACACTGTAACTATGATAGCTGCTTGTAACGCTAATGGAGATTTGTTCCTCCAATGCTTATATTTAAAGGATTAAATTTTAAAGATTTTATGATTCATAGAGCACTAAAAGGCTCGTAGGGTGCTGCAAATCCATCAGGATGGTCTAACGAGACCACATTCGTGATGTTCATGAAACACTTCATAAAATATGTAAGACCCACCAAGGAGCGCCCTGCCATTGTTTTAATGGATAACCACGAAGCCATATTTCTGTTCCAACAATTATTTTAGCATAAGAAAATGGTATAATTCTGGTTACGTTACATCTACACACAAGTAATAAAATGTAAGCACTGGATAAATCAGTCTTCGGGCCATTCAAAACTCATTTCAACAATGCTGCCAATGAAAAATGTATGACACCAGGAAATATAGGGAAACCTTTGACCATTTGCAACATCACTTGCTTAGGTGGAAAGGTATTCCCACGAGCATTCACACCAACGAACATTTCAAATGGGTTCAAAGCTACAGGATTCCATCCCCTTCTTCTGTACAGGCTGAATAATCCCAAGAAGCTCCAGGTTCATCATTTGCTGTCTCGAGAATGTCCTGAGCGGACTGATAATCAGTGCAGCCTGATCATCCACAGCTCCAAGAAACTAATGCCCAAATGAATCAACAGCCTCCAGAATCCTCGTCACAGGCTGCTGCTGCATTGCTTACCCCTGAAATGATTCATCCTCACCCAAAAGCTGCACCACGGAAGGTTACAGAAAAAGGGTAGACCAAAAGATAAATATAGAATATTGACTGACACGGCAGAGAAGAACGCAATTGAGTTTTTAAAGTCTGCTGAAAAAGTTGCATTCAGATAAAGAAAATGAAGAGAGAAAATATTTAATTATAATGTTTTTTAAATATTGCTATAGTGTTCAATGTTGATTAAAAGTGTTAATCTGATCAACCATCATAAGTACAAATGAAAAATAAACTCGTTACAGCAACTGCAAGTGTTTTATCTTCCTTTGATCTCACTAGGTCCAAGATACAACTTGTATGGTCCGAAGTACCCTAAGGCTGTTGTACCTCGGACAGTTTTATTTTTTTTGGCGGCATTTGTTCCCAGCTTTACCAAAAATTCACAGATTTTATTGAATTATTTATAGTTAAACAACTGATCTTCCCATATATACATATGGGAAGATCACATTAAAAAAAAAGAAATGTTGGGAACTGTTCTAGAAACAACAGGTTCCCCTACCGTTTCCATTGCAAAAGATACATTCATTTATGGCATGAGTAATGACTGATTCATACACAAAACTTTTCCTTTATCTTTTAGTTTTACTCCAATAATAAGAATGGAAAATTGATAAGTTGTAGATGTGAATTTAAAGTGTTCCGATTTAACAAATTTCCTCTCAGCATATTGACAGGGGACAAATTGTCAAAAAATATATCTAATACCAGAATGCCAAAATCAACAAAAGAAAGGGATATAATACAAATAATATTAATCGCACTGTAGGTTAACGCATGTGCCTCAACTGGATACCGTCCCACTTCATCCTTTTTTTTCAAATCCCCTTTATAGCACCCACTATGGCTATCATAGCTGTATGAAAATGATTATGCACTTTCTTGTAATTTATTATTTATAAAAATATTTCATCGGCCATACCTTGTAGAAATAATCAAACTTTATAATTATTCTTATATCTCGTTGTATTACTTGTAAGTTTTATGTGTATTGTGTATGCAGATTGGGCTTGTTCTCGTTGATTAATGAATGAGTTGAAAAAACGAAAAGAGTTTTTTGTTGTACGACCTCTATGAAGACATTCTGGAAACTACCAGTAATCAATCGCCACTCACTATTACACTCTTCCCAGAAACTAATTTAAATAAACAATTATATATTTGATTACTTTGAAAATCTATTACTCAACTACTGATTTCAATAAAATAACGATATTCTCAAATGTTTGCAAGCAGTATAGATATCAATATTTTCATTAGGATTTTCATATTGAATAAAATCACACGTTGATTCTATCAACGAATATCAATATGACACTGATATGTTGTTTACTTACCTGTACTGGAGTTCATGGCGAAAAAACCTTCGGGATTGCCAGAAATTATCTTGTAAGTGATTTCCTGTTTTGGGTCTATATCTCTATCAAATGCTCTCATCTGAAGAACGGTTGTGCCTACAGGACTTTCTTCTGTAACTGATGGATAATAAACTGCTTCTTCGCTCAAAGGAAAATTGTCATTTTCATTGAGCACCTCAATGAATACCTAAATTGGAAAATAATGAAGTTTTCTTAGTTAACTGGTGGAATAGTTGCTTGTATTATTTTTGAATAGTCCAAATCCAAAATCATGATAGAAACTCCATAATGGAAAGATATTTTTTGTGGAGTCAATATTTCTCACTTGTTTTTCTGGATTGTATTCTTAGAGTAGGGATTGTGAGTGTAGGCCCACAGCACTTAGACCACATGTGACCCATTGTACATCCTCCCGAGAAGTTGTACATCTAGGTCATCGTCCATCTTGTCCTTTTCAGGAAAGTGGACAGGTCACTAGGAGGTGTAGGCCAAGACTCGCTGAACACACACTCTCTAATTGACGATAACTCCGGACACTCGCATAGGACATGCCTGACAGTTTCATCTTCCTGTTCACACATCCTGCATAGAGGTGTGTCCACTAGTCCCATATTGTGGAGGTGTTTCCTTAGTTGGCAGTAGCTGGTCAGAAATCCTACTGTAAAGCGTAAATTTTTCATGGTCATCGCCAGATATTTCTTGGGCGCAGCTTCCCAGGGTGACCCAGGGTTATCCTGGCAAGATTGCATACTTTGATTCCATCCCATCTCTTTAGGGATTGAGCATGGGTGTAACGTTTGGTTAGTTGCGCAATTGTCGCACTGGGTCCTAAAATTCTTAGTCCAGCTGCTTCCTTGGCTAAAGAGTTGGCAATGTGATTACCTTTACTCCTGTCGTGCCCTTTAATCCACCTCAGGATAATGTTATTATCTACCGAGGCTCTGGCTAAATTTTTTTGGCACTCTAGTACTAGCCCTGAGGTAACACGTCTGTTCATGGCTAATAAGGCTTGTCTGCTATCAGTGCAGATTGCTATATTTTTGCCAGAAATTCCTTTCCTGGTTATTTCTTTTGTGGCGATTGAGATACCAGCTAGTTCTGTTTGAACCACGCTGGTATTTTTTCCCAATCCCCACTTAATCCTTAGGCTTAGTGACTTGGAGTACACTCCATAGAGCCTTCTTTGGTTTTTGAGCCGTCTGTATACATGGATTTTGCATTTGTAGCATCTGACTCTGTGTTCTGTTTTATTTGTATTTTGTAGGGTTTATTAAAGACAAACCTGGGTTCAATTGCATTACTGGTTGCCTGCAGCAGAGATTGCGCAGTGAGCGCTTTTCGCTATAGGCTCAGCCTCAATTGACCCTTTCCTACGTTTACACCAGCCGTGCACAATCGTAACATGGCCATTAACGCAACCTCCTTAACATACAGGTCTAGAGGGGTCAGACCAGATACTCTGGTTTCTCTTAGTGCGAATAAATCTTTCACCTTTTTGGATAGTAAACAAAGAATATAAACAAAGCTAAATCAATACAGAATCTGCTGAAGAAGTGTAACTTGATTGGACTTTGTTTATTTTTCAGATCGTGGAATGTTATCAACTCAAAAATCAGGTTATAAACCCACGGACTATCGATGTTAAATTTTTTTAATGTGATGGAGATAGAAGTAATTTATCTCTCGTATCAAATTGAAATCATCAGAGAACTGATTCTCGATCTATAGATGATTCAATCCATTGTTGAATTTGATCTCAGGTGCCTTGAATAGTTTAATTTGCAGATATGTAGGGTTGATTTTATCGAATGCACCTGTTGGAATAGAAGTAAATTTATATTTATCTTGGTTTCATAGATATATGTGAGAGGGTGCCACTGATGTAATTGTACTTGCATCACATTGGCAACCATGTTTTACAGTTATATGTAAAAGTGAATTATATAATACTCCCGTTTTTCGGTTGGTTGCATTCTAGTCGTTATTATGTGTATAGTTGATTTTGTTCATTTTTGATTATAAAGTATCATTTAGTTTTCATATAATGATCATAATAATTGTAGTGTGTGTGCTCCATTTGATCCACTTGAATTCGTATTTCAATAACTTTGTAAGGTATCACAATGATTTGAAAGACAATTTTTCTGACAAAAATATCTTGGAAAAATCAAGCTGTTAATTTTTTCAGTATACTCAGAAAAAAATTGTATTCTTACCTCGACGCTAGAAAAGAGGGGGACAACGCCGTGATCTTGGGCAAAAATGGTAATCCAATAAAAGCCTTTGGTTTCAATATCTAGAACAGCAAGTGTTCTTATATTTCCTGAAAATGAAATTTTTATAAATCAAACTATCGAAAACTAACAAACAGTTAAGTATTTTTAATAGAGTGTGAAGTTTACCATTTATTTATTCATATTTATAGGACATATTCACTACCTAGCACAGATATTTGCACAATGCATGTCTGGAATAGATTTTATATTCTAAATTGAAGTCACCTAATTCATCACCATCATTAGTGTTGTGTTTATTTTTCATTTTACTTCGTCTTAACCATTCAACTCGCTTGTTTTATATATTTTTTGCATGGCATGGTCATTTTCAGTTTTCCTATTTTTATTTGTATTCATAGTTTCAATTGATACTCAATGCATTTCACGAGGAGTTGTTAGAAATTTAAATATTCAATTGAACACTGTCAGTCTACTTCACTGACTATTTTATCTCAGCATTTTTCAAGTTAACTATCACAGTACCTATTAAAATAATTTTAACAGTGACGAGAACAACAACAAATATCCTGATCACTTGAAGTGAAATCAGAATAACTAGGTTGTGAAAGTCATTATAGGCAGAAAAACCCTATGCATAATTTGCAAAATATAGGTTTAGGCCAATTTCAACTGAATCATATCCCAAATATTAATAAAGAATTCTGAGAAAAATCTAATTCACAAATTAGTTTTTATTTTATACATATTTACAGTATGCATTTTATATATTTTCATTTAAATTGAATGGGAAAGAAAGTTTTTGGCTTTCTACTATTCCATCTTGATAGAAAAAAATGTGCAAATCTTCCAAAGAAAGGAAGGAAGCAATGAATTTCGAAAGAAGTAACTCTATGCATAGATATGTAGAGCATGCAAAGAAGTAACTTTCACACAAACTGGAAGAGAAAGCCCTCCTGAAACAGCTACTTTCATATAAACGTTGAATTACATGGAAGAAATATTCTTTCGAAACACATACTTTGATATGAACACTGAATTATACAAAACACTTTTCTCTACTCAGTTTGTATTCCAAACATTCGTTATGAAACTGAATCAGGTTTCATTCACAGGATTTCTACACAATATACTAAATAAAGGTAAAAATCTCACTTACATGGAATACTCACTGGTAGAAATCGATGATTCAACTAAAGACACTAGCCTTGAGGCTGTTCATTACCAATCTGGTATAAAAATTCTTTTGAAACAAATACTTTTCTATATGAACACTGAATTATACAATAAAAAAAACACTTTTCTCTACTCAGTTTGTATTCCAAACATTCGTTATGGAACTGAATCAGGTATCATTCACAGAATTTCTACACCATACTGAATGAAAGGCAAAAATTTCACTTACGTGAAACACTGTCATTCTCACTGGTAGACATCGATGTTTCATCCTAAGACACTTGTCTTAGGGCTCTTCAGAACCAATCTGGATAACATTATACGAAAAAACACACAATTCAAATCAAATCAAAATATACTTTGTTGTCCGAAGATTTGCATCAATTCATTCAAAAATTACGATTTTATGTCACGGAATGAATTTGATCTATTCATGTCATCAATGACATGAATAGATCAAATCAAAAGAAGTAAATCTATATCCAACTGTGTATTTATTATATATGAAATTTATAGTTACTTCTTTTGATTTGATCTATTTATGTCATCGATGACAAGAAAAGATCAAATTCATTCCGTGACATAAAATAGTAGTTAATGAATGTATTGTGTTTTTTCTTAGGTTATCCGTATTTGCTACTGAAGAGGCGAAAAGGCAAGTGTCTTACGGCGAAACGGGATAACAGTGTTCCATGTAGGTGAAATTTTACCTCTTCGTTTTACCTACTATATTGTGTAGCAATCCTGTGAATGATATCTGATTCACTTCCTTAACGAATGTTTGGAATACAAACTGAATAGGAAATAGTATTTTTTGCATAATTCAATGCTCATATAAAATGAGTTGTTTCGAAAGAACTTTTCTCTAATTCAATGTTTATTCGAAAGTACCTGTTTCAAAAGGACTTTTCTTCCAGATTGTGTCTGAAAGTTATTTCTCTGCATGATCTACATATCTTTGTGAAGAGTTCCTTTTTAAAAATTTAATGCTTTTGTTATTTTCTTTGTGAGATTCCCGATTTTCTTTGTATAAAGATAAAGAAGTAGAAAGCCAAAACTTTTCTTTCCCAAGAAATTCTAAGCTAATGATCATAGTTATTAGTTTCATTAGTTGACAGTACATACAAACTAATAATGAACTGAGAAATAACTGACATTTCACATGTACCTTTACTGCTGAGGAATTATAACTGAAGAGATAATTTACTTTGGAGAATTATCAGTGAAATGAGTGGCCTTGCTCATATGATTTCAATTCATTTCAATTCAAGAGAATTTTAAGAAAAAGAAAAGATTTAATTAACGTTTCCTAGTGACTTTATCACCAAGTGGTCTCTGACAAAGCCGGACACTCTCTGGGTTGGTGACTGCTGCCATATGCAGGCGCATTCGAAACGTAATAAGCTCACGGCCCTACGAAAGGAAAGAAGAATCGCTTGTTTGTTCGATAATTCCTCCTCATTACTTCGTCTACTATATTTCCCACAATCTACGTCAAGTCAACGTCGATCTCATATCCGACACTTCAGTTTCTTTTCAAATTTCAACTGCAATACTGTTAATATATTTGTCCATTTTTTACATATGATCTTCGTTATTTATCTGTACATGGTTATCAAAAATGAAGTTTTATTTTCTATCAACCCTGTCCCTATGGACATGTCGAAGGATTTGTGGTGAAACTTGGAGTTTAGGTCCCAAACAAAACCATTGGATATATGTGATGATTGTCAGACCAATGATCACTAATGGAGCAATTGCTTCAGAAAACGGCTCAGGCGAAGCTCTCTGGGGCTAGATGGCTAGACTTGGGCACATCGCCAATTGTACAAATCAATCTAATGCAGAGTACACTAGACTGCTGGTAGACACTGAAATTCACAGCATTCTAGGAATGACCTCTGACATTATGCCTCCAACTGTCAACTACGAACTGCCTCATACAGTACTTTTCCCAAGTAGAGACGACTGGATCCTCCGGGAGAAGGAAATATTGAGAGCAGATAGTTGTTGGTTCACAGATGGATCAAAAACACCTTCAGGCTCTGGTGCAGGTGTTTTCAGTTGCAGACCCAGGAGAGACATATAAACCTGCCTAGGGACCTATGCGACTGTATTTCAAGCGAAAATCTATGCTACTGAAGTGTGTGCGGAGAGATTGGTAGAATCCAACCTCACACATAAGTCAATAAAAATATTCTCGGAGAGTCAAGCGGCGCTGGAAGCTTTTGGCTCCTACCGAGCAACATCTAAATTGGTAGCAAATTGCCAAAAACGAGTCTTCCCAATAGGAAGACTTAACAAATTGTCTCTGGTCTGGATTCCTGGCCACACTGGCCTGGAAGGCAACTTCATCAGACCAGAACCTGTCATTGGCTTAGGTTTTGCCAAACAAACATTGATAACCTGGATGGCACGAAGATTTAAAGACTTCTGGCCAAATCTTCCAGGACTGGCTCACGTTCATTCGCCCTTTGAAGCTTGAAACCAAACAGTTGTTGGACTACAGTAGGCGTACGATGTCTAACAGACCTTCTCACAGGTCACTGTTGTCTGAATCATCATAAGCAGCGACTCGGGCGGACTGTCAGAAGACAGTGTGTGTCGCCTCTGTCAGGAAAATGATGAAACAGCAGGGCATATACTTTGTGCCTGCCCCGCTGCGGACAGAATCAGGTTTTCAGAGTTTGGCAGAACCACACTCTTAGAATCTGACCTGAAAGATAACTCACCATATAAACTAATCGGCTTCATTAAGAAGCTGGGTTTATTTGGTAGAGTTTGAATAGGTGTGATCCACAATAAACCCTTGCGGGTTGCGACGGAGGGTCGAATAGACTACTCACTTTTAATCTAACCGAACCTTGTACCAACCGATGTGCCATTCTACTTGTTGAACTCTGGACATATTTTCTTTGAGTTACCCAGAAGAAAAAAAAACAAGTTGAGAAGAAATGACGTTACAAATGTAACTTTTTATTTTGAACGTCTTAGTTTATGCACGATGAGTTCAGAAAGAAAATAGAAGTTATTTTCAAAACATTTGACAATAATCTGACATATGTCTTTATTTTTGATAGTTTTCAAACTTCTTAGAAACTTGGTGAATGTGTCAGTTCTGATATAGTTTGAAAGGTCTGCGTCTGAAATTTATTGACGATGATGTTTTTTGTTTAATTTTTGTTTTTTAACGAAAATATTCGTGTGGAGAAATATTTAAAAAAATAAATAGAAACAGTTGTAAGAGTTAAACACACATATAATAAATACAACTTCTTTACCTTTCTTGTCAATGGAAAATATCCCAACTCCATCTCCAGATCTAATAGAGTAGTCAATATTACTGTCTCCGCCAGGTGGATCAAGATCAGTTGCATTTACCTGCATTACAAAAGTACCCACAGGTTGATTCTCTTTTACTTTTCCAGTTAATACAAAATCTTCGAATTGAGGTGTGTACATATTCTCGTTCACATCTACTACATTAATAGTCACCCTAGCTTCTGATGATAAAGAAGGAGTTCCTCTATCACTGGCAAAAACCAATAGACTGTGGACCTGTCTTTCTTCAAAATCTAAAGCTTTTGTTGTGCGAATGCTTCCAGAAATTTCATCAATGGTAAATATATCATCTCCGTCATTATTTTCCAGGAAGTAATATACTTCACCTTCTGGACCCCAATCAGGATCTGAAGCCATCACAATGGCAACAACTGTTCCTTTAGGTAAATCTTCACGAACCTTAACGACATAGTTGGGTAAACTGAACTTAGGAGCATTATCATTGATATCATCAATTGATATTCTAACCAATGACTCTGAGTAAAGGGGTGGGTTATCAGGACCCCTTCCTCCACTATCTGTAGCACGAATTCTAAGTTCATATAAATCTTGACGTTCACGATCCAAGTAATTAGATACTATTAGCACACCTGTTGTTTTATCAATAGAAAAATCTTCAGTTTCTGTAACTAAAGTATAGATCACTTTTGCATTATCACCTTCATCAGCATCAGTTGCATTTGCTTTAAAAATAGCTGTGCCATTTTGAGCATTTTCAGTAACCCTGAAACTTGCTAATGTTTTCTCAAACTTTGGTGCATTGTCGTTAACATCCAAAACAGTGATGGGAAGTATTCTTGACAGTGATTTTTGTGGTTTACCCAAGTCAGAAACTGTGATATTGAGAAAGTACTCATATTCACGTTCTCGGTCTAAATATCCAATTACTCTTAGCTCTCCTGTATCCATATCAACACAAAATTGCGAATGTTTATCTCCTCCACTTATTCCATAAACCAACTTCCCATTATATCCTAAATCTCGATCTTGAGCAACTAATTTAACCAAACTAGTACCAAGAGCTACAGATTCATTAACTTTAATTTCAACAGGAAAATCAAGGAATTCTGGAGAGTGTAAGTTTTCACCATAACGGGTGGGCATCATTAGAAATTCTTGTTTCAGGAGTTTATTATTTTCCTCTGCTTGGGCTAAAACTTCTGTCAATCTCCTAGCAACACCAGTATCTCTACATTCGAATGTACCAATTCCAGTACTATACAACTTATTATTCCCTTCAATAAGTTTCATATGAATTCTTGAAACATCAGCAAAATGCGTGTTATCAGTTGCTGTTACGTTGAGTTCTCTTTCATCTACCTTTAAATCCTTCAAGTCACAAATGACAGAAACTGTTCCAGATGTAGAGTCAATACTAAAACAGCCATCTTCATTTCCAGATACAATTCGATAACTTATAATATTTCCAGAATCAAAATCAATAGCTGATAGGGTAATTATTTCCGATCCAATAGGAATATATCTGGACACTTGTCCAACACAGTCAATTTTTTCAAACTGTGGTCTATTATCATTTATGTCTCTAATGTTTACAGTCATTTGTATTTCTGTTTGACGACGATAAGGCAATCCCCAATCAGATGCTCGAATGTGAAGGATATATTCACGCCTCATACTTTCATAATCTAGGAGCTGTGTTGTTTTGATAGATCCAGAAAAGTGGTCAATTTCAAATGGAGTTTTGTTTAGATTTGCGATAAGGTATGATATATAGGCATTTTCTCCACGGTCCTTGTCTTTTGCCCTGACTGTCGTTACAGATGTACCTGCTGGCATATTTTCATCAATCCAAACAGTAGCTTCGAATTTCTCAAAAACCGGATCATTATCATTTGTATCCTCCACATATATTTTTATTTTTGCCGATGATTGTTTTCGTGTTCCAACATTGCCTTGGTCAACAGCTGACACGGTGAGACTATAAAACTGTTTGTTCTCAGCATCTAATGGCACACTTGTATATAACATACCAGTTTCGGGATTTATACTGAATTCTCCACCTTCATTTCCACCCACAATTTCTAGAAACACCAGACCATTTTTACCATCATCAGCATCAGTTACTTTCAGTCTTATCAATGGTGTATTTACGGGGGCTGTTTCAGGTACCTTCACTTCGTATATTTCTTTATTGAATATGGGGGTGTTATCATTGAAATCTGCTAAATACACTGGTACAGTTTTATAGGTTTCTCTAGGTGGTATACCGTTATCTCTAGCCCGTAACTTTAATTGATATCCATTTGGTGCCGTTTCTCTGTCTAGTAACTTCAATACCTCTATGGTATACTCACCTTTTTGTTCGGTAGAACGGATTCTAAAATGTCCGTCAGGATCCCCATCAACAATTTCTAAACTGGCTATTTCTCCATTTTTACCAGTATCTTTATCTGATACATTGACAATAGCATAAATATCAGCATTGGATGTTTCTACTATTTGAGGATGTCTTTTGATTCCAATTTCAGGAGAATGAAAGTTAACTTTCTGTACTCTGATTCGTACTTTTGCCTTACTAAACATTCCATATCCTCCATGTTTGAAGTTCTTTCCTCTATCTTGTGCAAATACGGTTAGTTCATAATATGACCCTTCTTCATATTTCAAAGGTCGGCTCAAAGATATAGTACCTGTTATTGGGTGGATTTCAAATTTATTTGTTTCAGTGATGAAACTGTAATAAATTTCTCCATTGATACCTAAGTCTGCATCCTCAGCAACTACCCTCAAAATACTTTGATGAATAGGTGTGTCTTCAAAAACAGTAGCATTATACTCAGTAGGGTAAAACAATGGATTGAGATCATTAGTATCTAATACTGTAACGACAACTGTTGTTTCAGAAGTAAGTTGAACTTTCTGTTTACCTTCCTTGGTATAAGCCGAAGCACGCAACTGAAGAATGTATTTGTCTTTACGCTCCCGATTTAACACATCATTATTACCAGTTTTTATTCTAATGAATAAAAAACAAAAATCTCCAACTATTCGATGTTCTGCTTTGAAAAACTTATCTTTATCTCCTTCAACTATCTTATACCGCACATCAAAAAATGTGTTAGGTGGTAAATAAATGCCCATGAAATCTGATCCTGGAGACTGTGTTGCATATGTTTTGGGAATGCTGTTCTCGTTGATATAAACATTATATAGTTGTTTTGTGAATTCGAAAGAAACATTGGCATTTTTTAATGTCTGACTATCCAAATCCACCTGGTCCACTAACAGCAGGATGCAGCAAATCAAGACGCATAAGTTCATGACCCAAGCACATTAATAAGAAATCTGAAACAAAAATACTGAATTATAATTTAGTCTTCTTTAGATCGTTGAGATTCAAAAGAATATCTTATAAAAAGTTAGTCAAATAACATGAAATTGAATGAGCCATTTTTTATAGAGAAAAATCAGTTTTATATCGACCTTCTTTGGGTATTTTCAGCTTCCACAATCTGAAAAATCTAAAAATTATAATGGAGAACTTTATACACGTGTAGAAAAGGCAAACTTTTTAGTTTATCCAGATAAGTTACTGCGTGAATTCAAAGTATTTTTCACAATGAAAAATATTATATTTATCAGTAACTTGTCATATTCAATAATTTTTCCTATAAAAAAAGAGCTAGGAAATTATACAATACTTATCTTAACTTGTTCAACTGATGACCTATTTATTTTGTAGACATTCAAGTAAACCAATTATGGTTTCCATAATTGGTTTACTTGAAGCAATTATGGTAAGAGATTCATTAAATCCTACTTACTTCAAAGTGAACAGTTTGTATCTTATAACAGCTATGATTCTTTTTATTACAATCCTTCATCTGGAGTACCTCAGACGTCAAATCTAGGACAACTTCTGTTCTTATTATTTATTAACGACCTCAGTAATTATATCGATTGTAATAAGTTATTTTCTGCAGATGATTTAAAAATATATTTACCTGTCGAAACTATCAAAGACTGTAATACACTGCAATGACAGTTAAAAAATATACAGACTTGGTGTGAAGTTAACAAACTATAAACTTTCTGTTTTTTAACACATTCATTTTTAACTTACGTTACTGTAGTTTCGTCCTATAAGAACATTACTTCAGTAACAAATAAAAGTAGTAAGAAACATAGAAAGTTTCAATTCCCTTTTCTTCATTCTAGCGCATAGTAACGGCTACATTCATCAATTTATATCTGCTCTATTTACTCTTTATGTAGCCTACGTAAGGCCAAAATTAGAATATGGTTTATGGTTTTGTTCTATGGTCTCCATTCTACAATTGCTATAATACATTAATACATTTCCTAAAGTTTATTCACTTCAAATCTCATTATCTATCCTGATAGAGGTATTCCATATGAATCTCTTACCATAACATTTAATATTGAAAGTCTTGAATTATGCAGAAAACTTGCTGAGACATGAGACAATTTTTCTGTATAAATTACTGCACAACAATGTGGATGCTATGGAGGTGTTATCTCTTATAAATTTCTGTGTTCATTTCAGAACTAAGAGTACAAAAACTTTTCATTTCAATTTAACTTCAAATTTGTGCGATATCAATTTTGATTCCCTAAAATATATTGTTGACACTGCATCTCAGTATTTCATGGAGAATTTTTAATTTTCTGGTATAAATATTACCGGAGTTTTTTCCCAACACCAAATCGTTATTTTTACACCTCGACACGTGTTTCGATCACCAAGTGATCATCTTCAAGAGGAAGATAAAACTAATAACTACTCAAAACTAAAGCTACTTATACTAATCAGGTACATCATACAGGTAGGTAATCAGTAATACCACC